CTCGTCTGGGGTGCACTTTCCTACCTTCATGGCTCGCTAAGTATGGATGTGACCTTAAGACTTTCTCTGGCAAAGAAACCTCTCCCGGTGTTTTCGTCTGCATAGGAACCAGAAAAGCGAACACAAACAAACAAAACAAAGGAATTCAAAAAAAAATCAAAAAAAAAATGAAATCTTTGGATTCAAACGTTCTCAACTGTAGTACACAGCAGTCTTCTGCAATGTGTGACAAGAGAGTCAAAAGAGGTTACGCGAACATCAACCCCAAACGTACCTAAATGCGAATGCAACGAACAAGCGAGGACCACCGTGCACAGCAATGAACATTCGCCATATGTACATTTCCGGAGCATAGGTTGATACAGCCGCAGAAATCGAAGGCAACCTATAAAGATGTGTTATTCTAAAATTGAAACCACCAGTAGAAAGCAAGGCTATATCTGACTCAAAATACAAAACTCAACACCAATTAACTAAGAAGCCAACAACAGCCAAACAAAAGCTGTTTCATACTTCGTAACTACGAAACAAAAACGAAATACTCTTTAGAGTGCCCCAACGTACCAGTTCTCCACTCCACAGTGAGTTCTAGTTGCTGCTTCGAAATGCAGTAATATGGAAAATAGTACACATATTATGAGAGCGGATAACGGTAACCCTGCTACAATAAACACGAACAGACGAAACGGAAGAGACAAAATGTCGTCATCCCCGTATGCCATCAGCCTGAAATCAAAAACGACTGGGATAAATAGCAGAAAGCTCAATGAGTAAGCTTATCGTCGATGGATTCGTCTAGAATGTGTTGAAGGCAGTCGCTTAAGAGCAAAGGGAGAATTGAATCTCTTATCAAAGAAGACTAGCCAAAGAAAAAAATAATGCTGGCGGTTCTTTTCGCCCCTCATACAAATGAACTATGCTGGCCGTTACCCCTTGAGGATCATTGGATAACGGGTATTGACTTAGGGGGAGGGAAAAATAGGTATAAAAGGATCAGCTTTTAGATGGAGCTAGCGCTAGAAGAAGGTGACCACTGAGCCAAAAGCAAAATTTATCAAAAATATGAAATTGACATCAGTATCCCGCGAGCTTAGGTCACTACCACCTCGCGAGGGGCGTATCTTCTTGCCGTGGGGAGGAGCGGGGGGGGGGCAAACATATCCAGGTTACCCTCTTACCGGGGCGGGAGCGGCAAACATATCCGGTGATGTTACCCATACCCCTTAAGCAGCGTTAATACTTCGCAACGGCAGCGGGATCGCGGCGACCTCGGCGACGGCCGCGATCGTCGGTACATGGCAGCAGGCCCCCAAGCACGCCCCAACGCTATTGCTTGGACCGCTCCGAAGGCTTTGAGAAGAAGCGACTCAGTTTCATGCTTTTTTTTCCTTTAACTGCAATTTTCTTAGGTACTGAAGCTCGGTTTGACACAACGTGGGCGGTTTGACATAACATGGTGCTAAGGGAGCGTTCATACTTTGCGACAGCAGTGACGATCGCGGCGATCGCCGCGATCGTCACTGCTGTCGCAAAGTATGAACGCTGCCTTAGCACCATGTTACTTAGCTGAACTCCTAACTCTATTTCAATGGATGCTTTGGGCCAAATGAAGTTCCAGACGAAACTCCTTTCAACTCAGAAATGTTTGATCTTTTTGAGAAAAGACCCTTAAAAGGTCCTACGGCAACATCTGAGGCATTCATAGAAAGAGTGATAATTCCTCTACAGATTCTTCATTCTTATCAAATGTAGGTTTATGTAATCGCAATGATTTCAATCCAATGATTGCTGTGCATGGTGAAAACCCAGCGCAGGTGCTTATCCTGATCGGGAGACTCGCCACGGTGCCTGGGCAGAGCACAATTTAGGCGCAGATCAGCGAGGAGAGGGGGCAGGACATTTCGCACTTTCGGTGCTTCCTATCGACGTGTTGAACCACCCAGGTGGAGACCTGTGAAACCTTGTGAAAATGATACTAGCCAAGGTTTGTTGAGGCTACCTGTCAACTCTTGTAAAGCAATGACGACCTCGTTCCATCTTTACAAGAGTACACACGTTTCATCAGAGTGGACTTGTAAACCGGAACTAGCACAGCGGCGAACGAGCAAAATGTCCTCTTCCCCCACCCACTGCCGAACTGCGCCCACAAATCATAACAAAAATGAAAGAAGTGTTCTAAACAACCGTATTAATCAAGAGAGCATTCTACAATGAAAACCGAGCGCTTTCAATAAGGAAGAGTGACAAAGGCCTGTGTGACGTGGACAAGATCCGTATCGGTCACGGATCGCAAAAGCGAAAAGAGTACAAGTGTAATCAGATGGTGAAAAGACACGCACTTCGAGAGATCGATAGACGGCCTGGAACCGTTCGCAAACGGAATAAATACATTTAAGCATATTTTATTGCAAACATATAATGTACAGAATTCTATAACAACAAACAAAACTATTTGCTCACTAGAACTACAAAATAAGTATCACAACGCTTCGACTACCTATATCGTCCTTTCCATTGAATATCATAATGTGAAAGCCAACTACAACAATTCTGCATATTATACTTTATTACACGATCCCAATTAAAGGGATTCTGATTGTGCTCAGCGATTTCTCTCTCTGCTTCTCTCCTTTCCGCTAGTAACTGTTCGCTCACGAACTCCACTGGGAATGAGAATCGTTCGCAGAGGTATAACAAAAACGCCTGCGCCTAAATTAATACCATCACTATATGGGGAAATACATTAACTGATGCTTATTAAAGGAAATCTCAATTAATGGCATAAAAATTCTTGAAAAAGTAGCCAAAATCCCTCTTCCCTCTGTTTAAAAAAATAGAAAATAGTGCAAGGAAGTGCAATGAATGGAAGCATAAACTTGAAATAATCTATGAGCTCACCTCAATCTCTGTAATATGGCCTCCGACTTCTAAAATGATTCGTTTCGCCTTCACAGGTGTTACGTAATGGTGAATACTACCTTTGCCACCACCAAGACGAGTACCTCAAAGTCATAAACTTTGTAAATTTCGAAGGAGAGCTCGTAGTTCTCTCACCTTGAGCTTTCTTCGTCCTAGGTAACCAAGGTGGATCGACACGCCATATGGCAAACTGTTTGTCGCGAAGATTTTTGTTAACACGCTCCTTGAAATGGAAAATGATATGTCTTGCGATGTCAGAATAAGAACGAAAGCACGAAAGAAAAAAATATATGTACAATTTTATCACTTTCTACGAAACGTGTTGGGCCGCATTCATATATGGCAAATTTGAAGAGTCTGTGAACTGTAAGTATGCGCAGATCTCGCAAATATACAATATGGCGGGAGGGGCGACTAAAAAACGGGCGGGAGGGTGAGGGGGGGGGGGAACCATAGGGCTATCCCTTCTCTAAAAATTAGACCTAAAGCGCATACGACCGCGGTCGATAGGTGTCAGTGCATCAGACATGACGTGGCCCCCACTAAGTGAGACAGAAGATGAGATACGAAAGCGCAGTTGAATAGTCCTCCTAACTATGTTGACTCGAAAAATGTATAGATACCGCCTGTTAAAGAACCCCGACAGACTGCATTTGAAATAAGGGCGCCCCCTTACTAGCCTGTAGTTGCTAAATTAATCTTCAGAGATGAAAAACGCGTAAAAAAAACCGTGGCGAACACCCTAAGACAAGAAGTGGTAGCCTCTCTGGACGAGTTTTCCGAACCTGCTCATTTTCTTCCAGCAAGGCTATATCCTACTACCTCTCGCTCAATAGTGATTTCTCTGAGTCATTCAATACTAGTACAACTGAAGAACGATGGAAAACGCGGTGTAACTGAACTTGCGACACAAAAGAGCCACTGAATATCGCTGGGCGGGAGGCGTCAGGAATGCCACTTTTGAGGGCCAGAGTGCTTTCTTCGGTATTGAGGGCAAGACTAAATACACAAGGAAGGACACGTAGGGGTTGCTCAAGCGCAAAGACTGTCTTTAAGTCCTCACAAACTCGAATCCCGAAATTTTCCCATCCGAGCATTCTCCGACAACATCGCTTGAGCAGTCAACCGATTCTCGTTCAATTCCGGATAGCGCATTCTCCAAATTTTCACCTTCTTTTCATTGGCAAATTATGAACGCCCTTTGACAACTTTAACTTGCTACAACAACCATGATGTACTCTGACATGAGACACAAAAAGCACCTGAATAAACTTGAAGTCGTCGGCGGAAATGAAACCTCCAGAAATCGCAGCTAGGCCAAATTGCTCATGAATAAGCTCTGTGTGAACTTCCTCTACGCCGCGTGCTTCGATCATTCTCTTCGTTGACTTGTACCTATACAACAGTATCAATCGTGTGGTAGAAGTCATAAATGAGAGCAAGCGAAACGTTCACTAACTTCTTCTCGCCCTTATCGAGATCATAGAATGGCTCAGGTGGCATGGCTGGCAGCTTCATCTCACCATTCGGAGGGAATCTTACATCTAAAATCAATTAATCACGGCAAAAGGGCCCGTAATATGTTGTACCTGAATAAATTTAAGGTAACCAACTTTCAAATGTCACCGGAAATGGATACTTCCGCATTCCTCGGCTACTGCTATATAAGAGGTTCGTGAGGTCTTGTAGGAGAACTACGCGAGTTCTCCAACTCATGTTCCTAAATAAATGTAAGCCATCTTTTTTTAAAGGAAAATGATGCGAAACAATGAGTATTCAAATCCTACAAAACAGTCAAAATGGATTTGAAAGGACCCTTGAGCCTGATCGACCCATTTTCTGAGATGCGTCATGTATACCACTTTCACTCAGAAAAGCCTTTCACACAGAAAGGTTCCACGAATCTGCGAAAAAGAATGGAACGCGTATCGACTCTGAGGAATCTGCACAAGCTCCCGCCAGAATATACGGCGGACTCTTGGTGCAAGATCGCGTCCAAATGCGAGTTAATGGTTGAAACCAGTCGGTACAACAAGTTGCGAGACCAGCCAGATTGAATTTTACCGGTTTTGTCCATCAGACGCTAGCTCAGCTAGGAGGGCATAGAATCATCGTCTCTGACGGGACATTTTCAACGAGATTTACCCAGAGGTTTTCGCACGGACAAAACGCATCCCATTTGTCACCAAGTCGCCTTTTGATATGCCAGCCAGGCCCACAGCATTCGATGGGGATTTTGGTCGAGCTCGTACGACCCCCCCCTTTTTGGGGGGTTCGGTACGACCCCCCCCCCCTTTTTTTTGGTTTGGTTTTTTTCACACAAAAACACAAGCTTCAGACTTCAGCTTCATTGTAAAACAAAAACAACTATATACATGGGAAAAAAAAACTAAAAACCACTATACAAAACCACTATATACAATTCGCTTTTGAAAGTTCTGCGTGTCTTACTTTTAGAACAAGATTTTTTGCGTTCATAACTTTTTCCTAGTTTTAGTGAGCGTTCAGGAATAGCTTTGAGTTGTTATTTATTGTTCCCTACGTGAATCTGAAAAAAATCGAGAGGAAATAAACACAACTCAAAGCTATTTTGAACGCTCACTAAAACTAGGAAAACTTATGAGCGCAAAGGAAGGGAAAAGGAGAAAAAAAACAAACAGGAACAATAAACATGAACGATAAATAAATGGCATGTTGCCTAATCAAACTCGAAGAATCTCCAACGATTTGTTAAAACAAATGCAAATCCAGTTGTTGTGCGCAGGACCCCAGTGCACTTGATTTGAGGGGCAGAATTTCCGCAGAAATCGTACGGTAGCAGAGTTGGGTATGAATTGCAGCTTTGACTGGAGCAAACGGCTATTAGCCATGGAGCGAGAATTTTCAGCAAAGTAGGGTGTCTTTGAAGGACCATAACTTCCTCAAAAGCGGACCTGTGGGGAAGAGGAGAGCGTATTGGTAAATTAGAAGGTTTGATCTTCCTGAAAGTACTAAAATGTTCATGAAGGTCGCGAAAATCACAGAGAAATCTGCCATAGGGATTCGTTGGGGAGTGGTTTCAACCGAACAGGTTTGAATCAATATATTTTTTTTGTAACTCAACATTTCACAAATCTGAGAACGGATCCGAGCTTCTCAAGATTTTCTCTTTCTAAAAACCTATTGAACTGTTCCTGAAGCTCTCGGGATTCATGAGATCTCGCGATGGGGATTTCTTAGGGAGCACTCCCAGCTGCGCGAAAAACCCGTTTCCTGTGTACCGTTTCAAGTGAGCGTGTTCGAATAGCCAGGAACGCATGTAGAACGTATCCTGTGGTGGAGCAGGAGCAGGATATGGTTCGTTTAGCGCCGATCACGCTGACTTTGTATGCACTGAGGTCCGCGCAGAAGTGATGGGATGGTGCAACTTGTGCATAATGTGTGTCCACGCGCGCAAATGTGTCTGTAGGATTCAGGGAGGTCCATGGCGAACCTGTGCACTTGTCTACAGTGTTTTCCCTTGCGGATGATGTAGCGTGTCCGTGTCGACGCCGCCAGATCTGTGCTCCGATAGTTGCTGATTCCGATAAAGGAGACCAAGTGCTGGAAAACGTCTGGTACGAACGATATGGTAGTCCTGTCGTTTGTCAGAAAAAAAACAGGTTGGCTCAGCGCCAAGCGTGATCGCGGACACGCCCCATCATCCGCAGCAAACCAGAGTATGAGTTGTAGTGTTTAATCACTTACGAGATGTTGTCGACTTATTAATAATTCCAATTATTTCGGATTAGTTTGATGGATGAAAGTTTTGTACTCATTTTTTACATATCCGAGTTCTCTACGAAGCAAGTTCCGCTACACAGGATTCAGCACACTGACACCTTTGCGCTGCTCGATACTGGCTACCGCACTCATTACGACCCCCCCCCTCTCCTGGCGGCCAAATACGACCCCCCTATGGGGATTCCCCAACCAATGCTGTGCCCTGTACGCAGCGTCATCAAAACGATCAATTTTATCCTTTTAAAAAATACTTGTTGAAGTACAATTAAAACGACCCACAAAAGCAGATTATACCTCCGATACTCTCTGGTATAAATACCATTTTGAATTATCTCACTTGATAATGCAGAGGCATTGGAGGTAAGGTTTATTCGGTGCACGTATGGGAGCGGTATACAAATTACATGCAAGTACCGTATTAAGACCGGTATTCATTACTATATAAGCGCCTTCATTTACACCATTATGAACATACTCGAATCACATCGTTCTACTCATAGTGAAGTGCATTAATAAACTGTAGCCGACACTAATTTTAGATATTCTTCTTCTTGTAGTGTATTGCTTCGCGCTGCGCTGACATCCTGCAGATGGAGGTGTTGTTCGCTGGATTTCTCTAAAGGCCTGAAATTCTCTTTACAAGAAAATTTGGCGATTCTAAAAATCCACCAAGCGACTTTTCCTGGTGGACCCATTCAGTCGCGGCTCGTTGACTCCCGCGCGTGCGCAAGCACCAATTCATATTACAGTTGAGCGAGCAGTGAAAAGAGAAGAGAGGAAGGGATAGAATGTGACCACAACGAAAAGATCACACTGTTAGGGTGTACTGTAGAATTTGTATACCCTACACCCGCTTGTGTTCCTCTCCTGCAGGAAGTCCGTGTACCACTTGCTCATCTTTGGGCTACGTTTATGTCATGTGCCCTTATCGAAGACCCACAGATGTTTGCTTATACCAAGATTCTATCATATGCCTTTGTAGTGAGCTAATAGATTTAGTAGATGAAGTGTAGGGTATTCTTTAGACAAATGAAGAATATCTGCTCCAGGATCATGAAGTAGCAACTCCAAGGGGTTATCACTCGGAACAGATAGTGTTGTTAAGAGCCACATGAGCCTACCCTTGAGCTTTTATGTTGAACCTGCTGCGACGCCCTACCCGTTCAATGTTGCATACGCTTTCTAAATCACTATTTGCCGTTTCTCACATTAGGCATCACTGCACTCTTGACATCTCAAGAATCTATATTGTTTTCATTAACACAACACCATTGCATATGGCACAGAGATTCCGTCACTTGAATACTCTATTGTTAGTTGGTCTGAAATTCTGGAGTCTGCAACCTCCACATCTTACTCAGTCGCTTTTGATGCGAGCATATCCAGACACCTTTCGAAGGATAAACGCTAGAACTCGGAATGTCGCATTATTCTTTTCACGCGCTCGCGCTTCCGGGTGGGCGGGCGGGGCCAACCGCTCCAGGAACGCCGAAAACCTGGATGACCTCATCCGGGTTTCGTCACGAGCGATCTCGTGACTCCGCCCCTTTTGGGGAAAGGGCCATGCCGATCGATAATTCAAAATAACACTTATACCTCCGATACTCTCTGGTATAAATACCATTTTGAATTATCTCACTTGATAATGCAGAGGCATTGGATATCAAAGCCGGGGGACGAGGTCCGAAAATGAGACTGTTCAGTTTGAAGGGTTCCAACGTATGAACTTTAGCCGGGCCATACATCTGAGAAAGCCTGGCCCGCCCTTTTAAATGCAAAAACTCGTTGAAGCTCCGTCATAATCAGACAGGACAACGTGGGGCTGCGTTGAGAGTTTCTAATTCTTGAGGAGCACACTCCTGCATGCTGCAGAAAGGGAAGACTTATAGGCTAAGGTGACAATTGATCGCTAATGTTATGACTACGAAACCTTGGACCGCTTTAAGGCATTATTCATCAATTTCATGTGGCCGACAGTAAAGGGCCACACGGCCGGGTCAGAAGAGGTGATGTCCAAGTGAAGAGATCGTTCACAAAGCTGTGTGTCCTCTTGTTCGATTTTATGCTTAGTACCCTCAATCTGCACTTGGGACTCTTGCGGTTAGTCGTACGTCACGCTTCATGTTTTCATATTGGCGTAAAACGCTAGCTTAAAACAACAAATTTGTTCAATATGCTCGTGAGTTTCGAGGAAATGTTCCCTGCTAATGACGAAAGGATATATGGAGGCCAAAAACTTGTCATTCTCTAGCTCTGATCACGCACTCCTGCTGCATTGTCACTGCGAGATTACGCTCTCCATTGAATTGCTGTCATGGCTGAGGAGTACCACGTTAGGACGGGCGTCGTCTCTTAACTGGGGAAGTTGCAAGCGGACATTGTGCTTTCATTTACCACACTGTGCAGTTCAACGTCTTCACGAAGAACACATTTGCATCGTTTCAGGGTATCCCCTCATATTACTCTTCTCATTCTTTTCATCCTTCCCTCTCCTCCTTATTTTCATTCCTTCAAACATTGGCTTGCAAGTGCGATAAGGGAATACCTCTGAACCCCAGAAGCGAGAGAATGTCCGTCAGCAGAAGCCCTGACCCCCACCATAAGATGGTAGAATCGCTGTGCATTTTGCGGTGTTTAGACATTAGTCGACCCTCAAGAAAGGGTATATGCTATTTGTCGCCTGCTAACTCTTACAAAGTTCCACGACTAGATTCCTGCTCTAGTACCATCTGGGGATAGTAAGTTAATCGTTTCACAATCACCAACGCCCTAGCTGTCGGATGAAATGCTTCACTGAGATGTTAGATCCCAATTGAAGTAATCTTTCACAAATAGTACCTAAAGGTCGTAGCTCAACCATTGTCTAGAGCGCCCTCCTTGGATTGAATCATAACTGATGCAATATAGAGATTGTACAACAGAATCCTCACACTCTCCCGATGCTGACATGATGG